GACAGTGGCCAAGAAGCAATGGAGAATAAAAGTTCAGAAGCTTCACCATCAGACCTAAAGTTAGTGGCCCACCCAAGAGCAAAAAGTAAAGTTTGGAAGTACTTTGGCTTTGATACCAATGCAGAAGGATGTATATTACAGTGGAAGAAAATCTACTGCCGCATTTGCATGACACAGATTGCCTATTCGGGAAATACATCCAACCTCTCTTACCATCTTGAAAAGAATCATCCAGATGAGTTCTGTGAATTTGTGAAAAGCAACACTGAGCAGATGAGGGAGGCCTTTGCAACTGCTTTCTCAAAACTGAAGCCAGAATCATCTCAGCAGGTTGCTCAGGAGAATTTAATTATGAAGACATGTCACAGTTATGAGAATAAAAAGCATCAGGAACTGACATCAGCAGTGGTTAGCTTAATGTGTGAAGGCTTGTATCCTCCTTCTATTGTAGATGAGCCCACCTTCAAGAATCTCTTAAGAATAGCTGACCCCCGATATGAACTTCCATGCAGAAAGTATTTCTGCACAAAAGCAATTCCTGAGAAATACAGTGCTATTAGGGATATTGTGTTAAAAGAACTGACTGATATCCTGTGGTGTGGTATATCTGTTGATATGTGGAGAAGTGAGAACCAGAATAGATCCTATGTAACGCTGACTGTCCATTTTCTCAATAATGGCTCTTCTAGCTGCCTGGCTGTTAATTCCCGTTGTTTAAAAACATTTGAAGTGCCGGAGGAAAATACCGCAGAAACCATTACACGAGTCCTTTATGAGATATTCATTGAATGGGGAATCAATACGAAGGTTTTTGGTGCAACAACAGACTATGGGAAAGACATAGTGAAAGCTTGCTCACTTTTGGACATTCCAGTACAGATGCCTTGCTTGGGACAGACTTTTAATGTGGGTATACAACAAGCTTTCCAGCTTCCCAAGTTATCTGGTGTCCTGTGCAGATGTCGGAAACTGGTGGAATATTTCCAGCAGTCTGCAGTAGCCATGTACATGTTGGGTGAGAAACAGAAGCAACAGAACACTTCACATTGCATGCTTGTAAGTGATCGTGTTTCCTGGTGGGGTAGCACGCTTGCCATGTTGTATCGTCTTAAAGAGCAACAGTTTGTAATTGCTGCAGTTCTTGTGGAGGACAGCAATAATCACCATCTGATGTTGGAAGCGAGTGAATGGAATACAGTTGAAGGCCTAGTGGACTTGCTGCAGCCATTCAAGCAGGTTGCTGAGATGATGTCTACTTCCAAGTATCCAACAATAAGTATGGTGAAACCACTCCTTCACATGCTGCTGAATACAACATTAAACATCAAGGAAAATGACCTGAAGGAAATCAGTATGGCAAAGGAAGTGATAGCCAAAGAATTATCTACAACATACCAACATACACCTGAGATAGACATGTTTCTTAATGTTGCAACTTTCTTGGACCCAAGGTACAAGAAACTGCCCTTTCTTTCAGCATTTGAGAGACAACAGGTTGAAAACAGAGTGGTGGAAGAAGCAAAAAGTCTTCTGGAGAAAGTAAAAGAGAACACAGTGAAGACTGAAGAACAGTTTTTTTCAGTGGCTGAAGAGCCCCCAGTGAAAAAAATTGTAATTGCCTCCAACTCCCCTCCTACCAGCAACATCAATAACATGCTTGCAGAAATCTTTTGCCAGACAGGCGGCGTTGAAGATCAAGAGGAATGGCATGCTCAGATTATTGAGGAATTGAGCAATTTCAAATCACAGAAAGTCCTTGGGCTAAATGAAGATCCACTTAAGTGGTGGTCTGACAGACTCGCTTTATTTCCTGTTTTACCAAAGGTTCTTCAGAAATACTGGTGCATTGTGGCCACGAGAGTGTTCCCTGAGCGTCTTTTTGCTTCTTCTGCTAATGTTGTTAGGGCAAAGAGAAATCGATTAGCCCCGGCTCATGTAGATGAACAGATCTTTTTGTATGAGAACACTCGCAGTGTGTCAGAAGCTGAGCCTGACGAAGAGGATGAGGGAGAATGGGGCTTAGAACAGGACCATATTATTAATTTAAGTGATACAGCAAATGTAAACAGCAGTTTCTTTAATATGAAAGACAGTGGTTTCATATAGATGGAATACTTAATGGTTCTTCTAAAATAATGTTTGTCTTAAATTACCAAAACCACCCAAATTCTCATGATAAGAATGCTGTAAATACAGAACGGTTGTAACATAACCTTGTTTTGTGTGTATGTGAGAGAGTGTATGTGAGTGCATGGGAGTGTGGCAACTGCCCTCAGGAGTGCGACATGTTACTCCAAAAAGCTGAAACAGGCGTAATGATTTCAAGAACACAGATTCAGCCATGCATTAAAACATGCGCTGTCCTCAATGACTTAGGAATATGGTGCATAAATAAAATAGTAACTTTTTAAACAGTTGCTCAGTTTTTCTTTTGCTATAGGGAGATCTCATGAATCAACATCCTGAGTGGGCCAGCCTGATATATGATTTTAGTTACGTGTAAAGGCTATCTGATACAGGATTTCCAAGCTTTAAAAGCTTTGATTTAAAAGTGTCTCTGTGTTTAAATATTTGAAGCTTTTAAAAGGTCAGATCATCAAGCATTATTACATAAAGGGCCTAATTTTAATTACTTACTTCACATGTTACTTTCCCCATCAGATTAATTTCTTAATAACAGCATGTGCCTTTTAAAACATTAGTGGCAATGTTGGTGGCTTTTGTTTCTTTTTTGTCCTGTCCTATTTGATGGAGTAGTATCTTGGTAAACATACTTGATTGTGTGCTCTCTCCATCACTTCGGATCAGAGAAGGTCATGCAGAGGGACTGTCATATGGACCTGTGAATAATTACCTAAGCAGACTTCTGCTGCTGTCTGCCACAGTACAAATTAAAGGTCATGAATTCATACATATGTTGCAAATATGCTACTCGGGAACTATAAGTAGATACTCTAGTATCTACTTCAGTGCAGATGTTTAGGACTAGGTGTGTGCTTGACTCTTCACCTCACCTTTTAGCCAAAAGTGAATTAGTGTTTCCAAAATAGGATTGGTTACAAGTCAATACAGAATTCTGCATACTTAGGATGAAAGATTTCAGTGGGCTTAAGCATGCTTACCTTTTTGTTGGACTTTAACTGTAATGGCTCTCACCATAATATTAATTCTCCTTAATAAGCAGTGGGAGAGCCAGCATGGTATAGTGCAGGGGTAGACAACCTTTCCCCTTTAAGGGCCGAGGGACTTCAGCTCCCAGAAGCCTCAACCATGTTGGCCAATAGTCCCATGTTGGCCAATAGCTTCTGGGATTCTGGGAGCTGAAGTCCCTCGGCCCTTAAAGGGGAAAGGTTGCCTACCCCTGGTATAGTGGTTTGGGTGTTGGCCTAGGACTCTGGAAACTGGGGTTCGAATCCCTGCTCAGTTATGGAAACTCACTGGTGACCCTAGAGAAGTCACACTCTCAGCCTTAGAGGAAGGCAAAACCAAACCTCCCTGTGAACAAATCTTGCCAAGAAAACCTTGCCAAGACTTGAAGGAACACAATAACAATAGGCAATGAAGAACAGAGTTTTAGATTTTTAATCAAATATCATCAGGCTAGGGGTGAAGCCAATTTTAAAATATTGGACTAGGGGAAGTGGCTGTTAACCCTATAGCCACCTCTCCGAGTTGGGAAATATTTTATTGTTCCTGTCTTTCCAGACTTTACAGACATTCTTGTACAACTTTCTGCTGAAATTCTGGATATTTTCACAAAAGTTTTGAGCATTATATTTAGCTTTATGTTAGTTCCTTCTCTTTTAAAATGCTGTTCTTATTCAGATGTAATGTCATACTGGTTTTATCTTTCTCAGAATGGGCCAACAGTTTATGTACTCCTTTTTTCTCTTCCACCACTGAATGGAAGAAACAAAAGTTCCAGGTTTCTTTTTATGTCTGAAATGGGGAAATAGAAGCTTACTTTAACAGGACCTATTTTGATCAAAACAGGATCAGTCTGTTTTCCCATTCTGTTTTCTCCAGAGTTAGGGAGAACCACAGTTTCCAGAATTCATTTGTAATAGCACATGATGGCTTATGTAAAACTGAAAATGCTAGCTTTTGGTTCCCTTGTTAAGGAAGAGGGGTATTGGACTGAGGCTGTCTGTAACAGATTCACATAGGCATGGTTTAACGTTATGTCATAGTTTAGCTAGTGGTTGCTTGCTGTTAATGAGACAAAAACTTCCTTGTAGCTATTATAATTAAAAAAACAAGTCAAAACCTTGGCTCATTTGGAGGAAGTTGTCATGTCTGCAATGCAGGTGGATGCTTGTGACCTTCATTTTATGTTTGCGTGTGCTTGTTTGCAACTAGGTTGAAAATGGGTAAGAAGATCCTTTTTCCTGATCAGATTATGTGTGCTAATTTGATTTCACACCAATATTACCTATAGACAATAATTTTGGGGCATATATTGATAATATTGTATGATACGTGGTGTAAACTGGGACAAACAAAGTACACCTTCCAGGCTGTTTTGCAGCCCTCAACCCTCTGGACTCATTGGACTAGTGAGTTGCCTCTCCTGGGAGCCTCCAAGAATGGTACTTCATCTTTGACATCAGTTGCAGTTGTGTCCTGTTTAACACTAAGAACCCTAGCCAAGGTTCTACATCAGATACATAACCACACTAGTGTGGCTATGATTGTTCTCCCAGTCTGCCCCTCAAAATCCACATTAAAATCCAATCACAGAGGGATACTTCTCTGCAGCACTGGCAAGCTGGGTGCTGAAGGATGATGCATCCAGCCCCCTCCTGCCAGTATTATCCAGTGCACCAAGTGGGCTCCTGTTGAAACTCTTCATCGTACTGCTGGAGGGTTGGATGCATCATCCTGGCTGGATTTTAAAGGGCATTCATGATTGTGGCATGGCACCAAAACTGTAATTGTGAATAAGTAATAGCTACAAAGTCATTATAAAGTTATAAGACTAGCTTTTGACATAAGTAAGGGCCTTTGTGGTGTATTGGTTTGAGCATTGGACTATGACTGGAGACCAGGGTTCAAATCCCTGCTTGAGCATAAAAAACCTTGGGTGACCTCTCAGAAGGCTAATCAGTTTTGATAACTACTACAAATAGATGAAATGCCAGTTCTGTATACTCACATGAGCAAAAAAGGATGGAAATAAAATGGTTAAAGTGGTATTGAACTGCTATTACTGTATAGTGTGGATATACACCATGTTATTTTACTTGACAGTGAATTTCCATTCTGGTAGATCTTCCTATTAGTGTAGATTTAAGGCACTTCTTTTAAACTGTCCTACAGAGTCATCTGCTGTTGTTTGTTTTTTCCTAATGTAGGCACAGGCACAACATAAATATTTTCACACAACAACCACATACAGCTCAGGTCAGTTGAACTTCCTGAGAGTGTCGAATATACTGTCATAGTGTAGACCTTAAATACAGAAGAATAAATCCAATGAAAGACCAATGTTTCTGTAAAACCATCAAAAGCAGTATGTTAATGTGTGTAACTGTGTCTAATATGCTATCTAATTTGTACTAATCTTAGCATCTTGTGATTCTCAGCTGCTGCAGTCTTAAGTAGCTGAAGGCACAAAGAAAGTGCATGATGAAATAATGTTAATCTCAATTGAATAAAGGTTCAGCTTGCTGAAGCTTAAATCTGTGCAATTTACACGCAAATGTAATAAACATAGACTGTTGTATATTTATTACACTGCAACAAAATAATCACCTCCTTAGTACTGATTTTCTTTCAACTGCAGTAAGTAAAACACTGTGAGAGATACAACCCATGATTTTACCATATCCCATTTCTGGCACAGGCAGTGAAATTTATCAGACTGGTGGTTGACTTGCATACGTTTACTTTTCACCACAACTTTGCCACTGGCCCTATGTCTCCTTGAAAGAGGAAGCTGTCTTACCCTGACCCCTGATCAATATAGTCCAAACTGTCTTCATTGAAAATCTGCTGTCAGTAAACTCAGGTGCACCACAGCTGTCTGAGATAATTTAATTGGAAATGGCAAGTCATTGAACCTGAGACCTTCCACATGCAAAGCATATGTTCTCCCAATAAGTTTTGGTGTTCCAAAAGTTGTATTCCCAAAGGTGTAAACTGGCAGCTGGCTTATTTCTAATTCAAGAGCTAGTTCTGACTTGCCTACTCTTGTCAATTCACAACCCTTATCTTTTCCGAGTTCCTTTTTTGATTCAACTCCTGTTGATATCATTTCAGCCGTTGAAATGACATTTCATTCTTTTGATTTGTGCTCTAAATTCCAGGCATCTGGTGATGGAAGGTCATAAGTTAATTGAAATATGATTATACATAGTGATACTAGAATAGTGCAATAAGCAGGTAGATAAAAATGGGTGTAAGCATAGAAATATGGCTTTAAACACTTGTCAACAGAAAGTAGTTGAAACAGTACAACAGTGGAATTTATCCTTTCCTCCTTATGCCCTCCAGCTGAAGAGTTGCTCTAGAAGCTTACATGTACAGAAGGGCACCTGAATATCTTAGAGAACATACAAATATGGAGATAGCTTAATCATTGGATTACAATTCAAAATTAGTTTAAAAGTCATCATTTGCAATATCATTCTTTGCCAAGTCAGCTTTTTACACTGATATAATAGTGTCTATCAGCAAAACAAAATTTATCTCTTCTCTGTGTAGTCTGCTTAGGAAGATTGGGGGATCCTCTGGAATGTGCTGTGGAGAGAAGTGGAGTAGAGGATGATAAAGTCCATTTTGCATTTGCATTTTGCCAGACTGCCCTCATTGCTATTATGTACATTGGCCTTCATGTCTGTCAAACATCTTTGAGACTAAGGTCTTTTGACACAAATAGAACTTGCCTGGAAGTAAGGGCTTGCAAATCATATTGTATAGGTTTGGCTCTGGTAACACTGGTCTTAATTGTGCATAACATGGTTGAAACTACATGTCTTGTTCTGGGTCTATTTTTTTAAAACAACAGCGACCCTGTATCACGCTGTTTCTGCTCCCACAGAAATTATCTGCTATAAAAACAACCAGCCCCTGGATGAGCTCCACAGTGACACCATTCCAAATCACTTCTGATGTTTTAAAATTTTTGGTATCCAAAATAAAAATTTCAGATGATCAAAATGACGAGTTTTGGTGATGTAAAGCCACCATAAATCTTACCTGCTTTGTGTAATTTTTTAATGTTTATGTGTGATCTGTTACTTAATAAACCAGAAAAAAATTAATTCAGTCTCAAAAACTTTTCAGAAGCACATTCCTGAAGTTTCCTGATTCTGTAATACACTAGGTTACACATACAGTAGGCCCTCAGTATCTGCTAAGGTGGATACCAAAATCTCTGGATGTTCAAGTCCCATTAAATACAATGGCATAGTAAAGTGGTGACCCTTACATAAAATGACAAAATCAAGGTTTGCATTTTGGAGTTTATATATTTTTTGAATATTTCAAGGTGTAGATGCTTGAATCTGTGCATAAAGAATCCATGGATAACAACTGTATAACATCTTTTAACAATTCTGGTCTCTAAGACAGAAATGTAAACTGGATGTGATATGGAAGAGTCAACCTGTACTCATGGACCCTAAGAGGATGGGCAGGATAGCACAAGCCAAGCCTGTGCTCTCCTGCTGTGGGTCAGTGTCCAGGCTGCTGCACTGACAAGCAGGTGTTTATACGCCCACCCACTGTTGTGCCATGAATGTACTACTGCCACACACCCTGTACCTTCCATTAGGGTGGAAATAGAGTTATAAATACATGCCCAGGTGCCCCCATCTGATGTCACAGGCTGCAGTGGGGGTCTTCTCATCAGATGTGATGGCAGAGGCTTATATGGGGCATGTGGGGCTGTCTGGTTTTCTGTCTGTTGCTGCAGTTTTTTAGAACTCCCTGGCAAATAGCTGGTCCTTTTAGAATGGGCTAAGCCCCCTTTGGTTGATGATAGGACTCGATTTGAGTCCAGTGTGTCTGATCTCAGCCTGAGGTGAATGGCCTGCATTGTCTGGACATGAGGCTGGAGGGAGCATGGGCTTTTTGGTTTGTGTGAACAGGCCCACTGCTAAGTGTAACGTTGTAATGCTGTTTCTGTTTGTTCCAGTAAAGATGCTGGCATCTTTGAAGTTCAATCCCTTGAAGATAAGCAACTGTCAGGATTTACAGAGTTGCCAGGAGACATTTATTTATTTAATGTGCCACCTTTTTCCCAGAATGGGACCCAGGGTGGCTCACAAAAGGAAATCAATTAAAATTAAATAGTACACTTTAAAAGCAATGAAAATAGTCACAACTAAAACAATATACAATTATTTAAAAACATACAAGTTAAAAAGATAAATAAAACACACCCCAATAAAAAAGTGATATCTTGGAAAGCTGCACCCAGCAAAACACTTCTAGATGCCCTCTAGTGGGGTTGTGGCATTCATTTTTGCCATTCATTTAGGATTTTGTGTGGGGTGGTGTGATTGGCCTTTTCTGGGCTGCACACATCCTACATAAATTTTCTTTTATCCATCTCAGCCCACCCCCAATGTGCCAGGTGCTTGCACCACGTATGTACCCATTGAGTACAATTATTTATTTCATTCCTGGAAGCTCTCTGGAGATGAAGCTGCTGGCTTGACAAGCTCCAGACTGCTCATCACGTCGAGTAGTACTTTGAGGATCATCATTTGTCCACTTTTGCTAGATAGCAAAACCTAAATCCAATTGATAGTTCCACCTATCAGTTGCTGAACAGTAAGTCACAGTTTACATAAAACCCATTGATTCTACAGATCTACTCTAGTTGGATCCAACTGAATCTAGGCCTAGCAGATAAAACAAACTTCTGTTTATATATTTTATTGCAGTGTGCCATGCACTTTCTCCTATGGAAAAAAGGATTTTAAAAGAGAGCTTGAAGTTCTCAACTAAGCTAGGAAACCAGCAGACAGGGCTGTAATGATGGGCCTAACTATCTGGAGAAGCCCAAGAGGGCCAGATTCAATTCCAGAGCCTGAGGTTATCTGTTTCTGATTTACAACACTATTACAAAATGATGTGAATAGGGAAAGCTTGCTGTGTGATACTGATAAGCCAGAGGTTCAGTCTTGGTGAGATGTTGAAGAGGGGATTGAAAAGCACTGAGAACAAACAATTTCAAGTTGACTGTAGAATCATAGAATCATAGAGTTGGAAGAGACCACAAGGGC